AGAATTGATTATCACATAATTATATATAATCAAGATGCATAACTGCATGTATAATAATTTAACACATAGGTAAAACATATTGCGTATATAATACATAGGTACTGAGACTAATTCAAACACATCAAAATGCAAAACTGGCTTAATGTGTTTTGTACAATGGAATACCTGCAGCCATTAGCTGGTAAGAATGATGATGGAGATAAAATCTGTTGACATGAAGCAGGGATGCAGTGACACACTTGTAATCTCAGCATTTTGGGAGACTGAGGCGGAGGATCGCTTGAGCCCAGGAATTCAAGACCAGCCTGGGCAACATGGCAAAACCTTATCTCTACAAAAAATACAAAAAATTAGCTAGGCATGGCGGTGTGTGCCTGTAGTCCCAGCTACTTGGGAGCTTGAGGTGGGAGGATCACCTGAGCCTGCAGTAGCTGTGATCAAGCCACTGAGCGACAACGTGAGACCCTGTCTCAAAAAGAGAAAATGTTTGTTTACATGAAATAATGTCAATGACGTATGGAGATTTTAAAAAGTAAGAAACGAAGGGAAAAAAGAGCAGATTATAAACAATATGTGTCTTATAATCACATTTTACTTTAAAATATTCCATTTCTTTTTATATATCTATGTGTCTATCTATGTCTGTACTTACAGAGAAAGAAAACCTAGAAGTGGAGTCACCAAAGGGTTAATAATCATTATCTACGGTGATGGGGTGGAGTGTAATTTTTCTATTTTTCTTCCTTCATAGACTGTGAGCAGAATAGCTATATGATCATAGTTATATTCTATCTATAATTTATTAATCATCTATTATGCGTCAAGCCCTTTATTATGTTCTGATCTCCTAGAGCTTGTGTTTTATGACTGGATATATCAGCTGGCATTCTAACTATAGTTGCAAACAACAGAAACCATGCTGCCTAATTTAAGTAGGAATGTGATTTATTAAAGGACGGTTCTACTGGGAATTGTTCCCCAGAATTGTTGGGAGAGCTGGAGAAACAGATTCAAGGCTAAGCTTTCATGAGCAACGCCCCAAATCACATCACAGAACTGACCTGATGAGGTAGCCACCTTTACTGCTGCTGCCACTGCCAAGCAGGAAATGAAAGGAATCGACTAGTGTAGCTCCTACTGCTCCAGCACCGGAGCTACTTCTGAGCCAACGACTTGCATTTGTAACCCCTGCCGCTCCTGAAAGCTGAACTCATCAGCTGCTACCTGCCTCTGCAAAGATGGAGGCTGCATGCATATGTGAGACCCTGTGTGCGGACAGATGGCTGCTAGAGCCTGGGTCACATGCCTGCCTCCGAGCTGCCGAAGTGGCTGGAAATTTGGGTTCTGAATTCTGCATTGATGAGGCTGAATTCATAATGTGGGAATTTCCCTCAGTAGAGAAGATTATTTAAATGATAAGTAGCCAGGCGTGGTGGTTCATGCCTGTAATTCCAGCACTTTGGGAGGCCCAGGGGGGTGGATCATGAGGTCAGGAGTTCAAGACCAGCCTGACCGACCTGGTGAAACCCCATCTTTACTAAAAATACAAAAAAAATTAGCCAGGCGTGGTGGATGGCACCTGGAATCCCAGCTACTCAGGGGGCTGAGGCAGGAGAATAGCTTGAACTCAGGAAGCAGAGGTTGCAGTGAGCCAAGATCATGCCATTGCGCTCCAGCCTGGGCAACAGAGATTCCATCTCAAAAAAAAAAAAAAAAGTATAAGGACAAAAAGGAACCTGACAAAAGTACTTGTAGGTTATTGACAGCAGTCAGGATTTGTTTTGAATACATGTAAAGGAAATCCAATGCAAAGTAGGTTAAGGAAAAGGGGGAATGAATGGGCTCAGTTGGTACTGGCCCCTGTCATAACTGGATCCAGGGACTCAAATGATGTCATCAGGTATCAATCTCTTTCTGTCCTCAGGTTCTTTTGAGTGGATAGCATAATGGACCCTTGGCAGCCTCACATACCAATACAATTTCATTAGCAGAAATAGATAATTTCCCCAGGGCTTAGACAAAATAGCCTCTGTAAAGAGATTTTGATAGGTTCACTGTGGTCACATGCCTATCCTTGACCCAATCCTGTACTGGGGAACCTGGGGCATATCCCTGGGGTGTGATGGTGTCAACTCCACTCCTGAAATATGGAATTGGTTCTCCACAGAAAAAAAGACATATCCTGGCTCCAGCACATACTAATTGTGTCATCTTGGACAAGTCACAATTTCTCTGAGCCTCAGTTTTCTCATCAGTAAAATGGGAGTAATAAGAGTGTGACTTCATAGGGTTTTTAAAACACGGTTAATATAAAGTTTGAAAGAATTTATATTTGTAAAGCACAGAAAAAATGTCTGTCATGGTATACAAGTGTTTACTACTGTAATTATATTCTGTTAGTCAGAAGAAGGGAGAAGTGACAGGTAAGGGAGACACATATTTCTACTGCACCCTAGATCAGGCAGTTGAAAATGTGAGTCTGGAATTTTAAAAGAGATCTTGGCTAGAGTCTGCAGAATGGATAAGAGAGTGGAGTACATGACCCCTCAAGGGAGAAAGTATGGAGAGGGAAGAAGATGAATAGGGTGGAACATAACCAACTCCATAAGTGGATGAAATTTACAATACTGATGTTTTTCACATCATACCCCATTCAATGGAAATTCAACTTGGCAGTTTTAAACATGCACTTTTGACTGTGTCACATTCCTACCATGAGTCTAAGTTCTTTCTTGAGATTCTTCTGAACTCTGTACACTTTAAGGATTTAAAAAATATAACAGATTATTTGACCACATTAAAATTAAATAGTTCAAATAGGGCAAACTATAGATAAAGTTAACAGGTTCATGACAGACTGGAAATAAATGTAATATGCGATTAATTGATTGGGATTAGCATCTAGAATATGAGGAACTCCAAAAGTTAAAAAAAAAAAAAAAAAACAGTAAAGGATGTGGATGGGAATAGAGAATGATGAATTCCTTGTCACAGAGATACCCACAAAGTGGTCCATAATGCAATCTGTACATGGATGTTTCTAAATGCGATGTAATAGCATAAATTTGTGTACAACCTAGCTATTTATCAGTAAGGTCACAGATACTGTAAAATACTGCACAGTAAGGGAAACTCTTTGAATGTTAGATGTGCAAACAGCAACATGAACAGATCCTAAAACCACAGTGTTAGGTAAAAAAGAAAAAAAGAAAAAGAAACAAAATGAGATCTTGAAGTCAATACTTCTTGGTACATTAGAAATACAATATGCATAAAATAACACAAAGGATTTAGCAAGGATACAGGCATGTTTAAAAATATAAGTATATTAAAGTAGATGACTTGGGGGAGAAAGGAGAGAACTGAAAAGAAAATAAATGAAAAAAGTCTTTCTATTATTGCCTCAAAGAGAGTGTACATGTGAGACTTTGTCAGGTCTCGACATATCTAGAGGCTGAAAATTTGGGTGAAGCAATGTATTTTTTTTAGTAGAGAATAATTTCATATGTGTGAAACCTGGAAACTCTTTCACATTTTGTATGCAATTAATTAGCACATCCCTTTTTCCTTCCTTCAAATTATATACAAAATCTACCTACACCTTTCCACCTCCACTGCTACCACCTTGGCTCAATTGGTGGTCTTCTGTTGCCTTGTCTAGTGTAATTATCTTCTAAGAAGTTTTCCTGCCAAGTTGCGCCACCAGCTCTCCCATTCCCAAACAAATCCCCAAACCAAAGCCAAAGTAATATTTTAAATACCTAGTTGGGATGATATCACTGTTTCAACTAAAAAGCCACCAGTGGTTTTCTATCTAACAGAATAAAACCCTCGAAGATGCATGTCTGTCACTGCCCCCCGTCTCTAGCACACCTCTTAAGATCTCAAATCCTACCTCAGGGCCTTTACCCTTGCCGTTTGTTTTCTGTCTGGAACCTGGATCCCTTCTTCTTATCAGAGAAGACTTCCCTGATCACTCTCTAAAGTAGTAAAGGTGTTCAGGAAATGCCACCCCCAAATATGCCACTTTGGACTTCAAACTCAGGGCACTTAGGGAACAGCAAATTCCTTGAGGGGCTTTTCTCTGAACTTTCTTTATCTGCCTAAAGACAGATACTTCAAAAAGATCTCAGATGTCATGAATCCTGTCCCCAGGCATCTCATCAACCACAGAAGATTCAACTCACCTCCCAGGAGAGGAGACTGGGGATTGACCCCACACCCAGACAGACTTCATCACAGGATGCCACCTGTTCTTCTCAGAGCCTGTTCATCTTTTCCAGAAATTATCTTCTCACCCCTAAGTTGCCTACGTCCCCAACCTGTCTCCTCTGTGAAGAGGGTATATAACAAAAAATCAGCTGGGCCTGGTGGCGTGTGCCTGTAATCCCAGCTACTCAGGAGGCTGAGGCAGGAGAATTGCCTGAACCCAGGAGGCGGAGGTTGCGGTGAGCCGAGATCGCGCCATTGCACTCCAGCCTGGGTAACAAGAGCAAAACTCCGTCTTAAAAAAAAAAAAAAAAAAAGAGGGTATATAAGCTTTTACCTCTCAGTGGGTTGGTAGATAATCAGTGTTTTTCCCTGTGATGCCCCCATGCACATGATACATCTTTATTCTTTTTTCTTGTTAATCTGCCTACTGTCAATTATTTTAGACTCAATTACCAAACCCTTAAAAGCTAGAGGGAAAGTTTACCCTTCCTTAAGACAACAAATACCCGTTTCTCCACCCAGATTGATTCCTCTTATCCTGTTTTATTTTCCTTCATGGCATTTATTTGTTACCAGATACCTCTTTCCCATTAGAAAGTAAGTACCTTGAGGATAAGAATGTCTTTCAGTGTCTACTCAATTTTCAGTGCACTCAGTAATACTAGTTGAGAGGATAAAACAATGAATGAATGAATGAATGAATGAATGAATGAATCAAGGAGAAAGAGAGAGACATAACACAAGCAGACAGAGAAAGAAAGGAGACAGGAACACTCTGGTGGACCCACCACGCTTGAAGATTTTTCTGTGAAGTAGAAACGATTCTTGTGACAAATCTTTCATCCTTCTCATTCCCTTGCAGACTTCCTCCCCTGACTTTCCCTCAGGTTTGATGATGGACCAAGTAGCAGCTGTAATATGGGACGGAGGCATATTCTGACTCTGCTCAGAGAGGGCCACTTCCTTGTGATATGGGTGGCATTTTGACTTATTCCTCTGTAAGAGATTTTTTTCTGTACATGTTCACTCCTACATGCTCCTATCTACCTTAGAAAAAGGAAAAATGGGATTTATAAAAATGACACTTTATGAGATTGCCATTTTCCTCTGTGATATTATTCCCCCAAACGCATAACTTGAGTGTAATTATGAGAAAAATATTAGACAAATTCCAATTGAGGGATGTTCTACAAAATACCTGACCAGTAGTCTTTAAAACTGTCAAAGTCATGGCAAATGGGGAAAACTTAAGAACTGTCAAAATCAAGAGTAACTAAAAGAGACATGAGCTCTAAATCTAATGTGAGATGCTGGATGGGATCCTTGAACAGAAAAAAGATATTAAGGGAAGAATTAGAAAACTTGAAAAAGTGAGGACTTTAGTTAATGACATATCAATTTGGTTCCCTAATTATAAGCAATGTGCTGCACTAATATACAGTGCTAATCCTAGGGGAAACTGTAGGGTGGGGGTAGCATATGGGAACGCTTTCTATAGCATCTTCACACTTTTTCTGTACATCTAATGGTGTTCTAAAATAAAAAGATTTTTTTAAAAAGTTGCTATTCCTCAAATTTGTTAGTGCTCTACATAGCAGGGAAAAGGAATTGCTTCTGGAGATATGTCATGTTTAGTGAAACATTTCATCACAATTCAGTACCCCCCTTCCCTTTCCCGTTACTGATAAGCAAGGCAGGTAGATAAAGCCTGTCGTCTCTCATGAAGGAAATCCCTTAGTTGTTTAATTATAGCCTGAGGATTTACATGTTTTGCCATGTTTAGGTTTCAGCCTGGAGTTCAGTCCTGTTATTTTAAGATTCTTGGCCATTAACTGCAAAGGGGAAGTGAAAAACACCTCCGTTTTTATAACAGAACGTGTTTTAACAAAAATAATTTACATGAACATGAGCCAAGGGACAAGCCTAGGAGGTCAGCAGTCCTGTGCAGAGAAACGTCTACATGGCATTTCCTTATTTTAAGAAAATCTTTTTATATAGACTATTTAAAGAAGGATAGTTTCCCTCTCATTTCCTCCTCTAAAAAATAATATACTTGAACACTGGATCAGGCCTATTTTTAAGGGGCCACTGATAGAAATGAATTGCTCTTGGCGTTCAACTCTGAGATCTGCCTTCCCCAAGTTCTTCTCCAGCCCACGTGCTTTTTTCTTTTTTTTTTTTCCTTGGTGGGTGAATTCTATTAGGGTTTTCAAGTACTCTCTATTTAAGAAGGCAAATACCTTTAGGAAGCTTCAAGGGTTATTAATAAAATAATAATTAAAGTAAGAACTATAAGCCAGACAATTTACATGTAAAAAAATGGAGGCCAGGATGCCTAATTTTTAAGGAGGTCATGAGAGTACAAGGAAAATTGCATGAATTCAAGAAAAGGCAATGCTAATTAAGACCAATGGAAAATGGCTGCTTATTATGAAAAACAAATGGGAAGATGTATTTCTTGGGAGTAAGAGCTTCAAGAAGTAAGGAAATTGACTTATTAGAAGAAGCTGCAGATTTACATTGCAAAAGGAGAATATACAGAAATAGCAAAAATTAGGCCTATTTTGTAATAAGTCTACCACAGATATAGTAAATAAGGTGTTAGCATATATTCTGTAAGTATACGTTCTGTATATACACATATATGTTCTACATACACATTGCATGTCAGATCATATTGGGTGCTAGATTTTTCTCTCATGAAAGCGTAAAGCAAATGTTATAAAAGCAATGCCCCTGCACTCATCACACAATTTAAGTGAGATTCCCTCATCCTTTCACTGGTGGTCATCACTATTCTAAATTTTTTTTTCCCATTTATTTTATTGCATTTTAGGTTTTGGGGTACATGTGAAGAACAATTTTAAAGTTATTTGTTCCTGTTTTCTTTACAGTTACTATCACACACAAATATATCTCTGAACAATATATTTTCAGTTTTGCTTTATTTTTGAATTTATATAAATGGAATTAGACTGAATAACTATTCCTGTGATTTTTTGAGCTCAAGGGTAAAAGCATTTATGTTATATTATAACAAGATGTTTTAAAATGCTCATGTTTATGACTTTTAAAAATGATTTTCTTATCAGTTCCACATTTACTTACTTAATAATCAGAAAAGATGGCCTACATGGTACTCATTTTTTGAAATTGTTGATATGTTCTTTATTGTCTTTTATGGAGCTAATTTTCATAAATGTTTCCTAAGAGCTTGAAAAAAAAAAACTCGAATTCTTTAAATGTTGAATGCAGCACTGTATGTAGGTCCATTAGATCATGCTTGTGAATTATGCTACTCGAATGTTGTATAGACTTTCTAAACTTTCTTGTCTGCTTGATCTATCAACGATTAAAATAAATAGATATGTAAAACTTTTCCAATATGGTTGCAGTTTTATCATTTTCTTCTTGTGGTTCTATCAATTTCTGCTTTATATATTTTGAAGCTGTATTATTAGGACCATATAAGTTTAGAACCATTGTCTTTTCTTAATTAAATTACACTTTATTATCATGTAATCTCCAGTAATAAATTTTGCTTTAAAGGCTACTTTATGAACATTAATGTGACTAAACCAGATTTTTAAAAATTAGTATTTACCTGGAACATTTTTTTCTACCTTCAGCATTTCTCTTTTGTTATGTTCTAGCTATGCCTCTGTGAAAAGTCTAAGATAATCTTATTTTTAAAGTTAATATGGAGGTTGATCCAAGATGGCCGTTTAGGAACAGCTCAGGATTGCAGCTCCCAGTGAAAGCGCAGAGGGTGAGTGGACGCCGCGTTTTTATTGCCCACAGACTAGGAAACTCGCGGGCAGAGGTGCTCCA